CTAAACCCCCATGACGCCCACTTCACACCCAGGGGCAGCAGCGGTGACACGAGACGTGGGTCGAGCCCGACGACGTCGTCTTCGCACTCGACGCCCTGCTGCACCTGGCTGAACGGATTTCGGGCTCAAGAGCTTAGGGCTTAGGGATTAAGGTTTAGGCTTTAGGGTTTAGGGTTTAAAGGGGTCACGGGGGGGTTTGGGGGCTGTGGGTTGAGGTGGTTTGGGGCCGGGTTGGGGCCGGCCTCATTGCGGCTAAGGCCTTCGGCTGCGAGAGTTTGTAGGGATTCTGCCAGCCTAAGCCGCTGCTACGTCTGGGATTTCAACTTGCTCACCTGTTTGCTAAACTCCTCTTAGAAGCTTAATAAAAACATCATCCTCTTGGGTTTTAAATAATCAAAACTAAAATAATTCCTGAGGGGAATATAGTTTGAACACCCTTGCCTGAAGCCTTGTGTAGAAGACCTCAGGAATCAAGAGCCCCCGAAGCCTGGCTTCCTGTAAGTTTTGACTACACAGCCCTGATGGTTCTTGGTTCTTCGGGTTGCCAGGATGCAAAAAAGGTTGGGGGCTTAAGAGGTTGTGGGTGGCAAAAGGTCGCTTTTTCAGGACAGTACAGTTCGAACGCGAAGGCTACAAGAGCTCAGGGATTCGTTGCTTCTTGCGGCCGGGGCTGTAACGCCTAAAACCCTAAGCCCTCAACCCTAGGCCTTAAACCCTCAACCCTAAGCCCCAAACCCTAAACCCTAAACCCCAAACCCTACACCCTAAACCCTAAACCCCAAACCCCTACACCCTAAACCCTAAAACTCCCTGAAAGTTTTGTCAGCTCTGCCGAGGTGCTCGCAGCAGCTCAGGAACCAGAGGTCGACTCGCATACTGCGCCCGCTGGGCATTGGGCGACGTCGCCTCGCGGCTTCCAAGACACTTACGGATGCTTAGAGGGGGGGGGGGGAAGGTAGGGTTTAGGGTTTAGGGCTTTAGGGTTTAGGGTTTAGGGTGTAGGGCTTAGGGTTTAGGGTTTAGGGTTTAAGGTTTAGGGTTCAGTTCAGGGCATCCAAGACCGCTCATTTTGCAGCTTGAGAAGGGCTCGGAGTGCGGGCTCTTGAGGCCTTCAGCCGCAAACAAAGCCAAGAACTCCGGCTAAGTGTGGTAGGTAAGAGGCTTTGGGTAGCTGAAGGTGTCACTAAAGCCGCTGTCTCTTCGTTTCTTTCCGTCTTTTTCTGTTCCATCTCTCTCTGGACAGTTTTTGGGTATCTTGAGCCCTGTTAAACCCTGTGTCCCTAAATCCTAAGCCCGATCTCACAAACCGGAGAAACTCTACACCCCCAGCCCGGGAAGGCGGGAAGCAGCACTCCTCCATCGGGCTCACTGTGCTGCCGTAGCCCTCCGGGCGCATCACGAACTCCCGACGAAAGCCTCCTCTTAAAAGGGCTGAAGGCTCAGGGCTTGTGGGCATTGTGCCGGTTTCGGGTGCAAGGCCGGGGGGTTGAAACCCTTAAAGCCTAGAAACACTGTCCCTGAAGGTGGGTTTGGGTATAAAGGGTTTTACGGGTTTACAGGGTTTACAGGGTTTAGAGGATTTGCAGGGTTTACAGGCTTTATGGGGTTTATAATAAGTTTATAGGGCTCATAGGGTTTATAGGGTTTAGAGGGTTTAGAGGGTTTACAGGGTTTATGGGGTTGTAGGGCTTGTAGGGTTTAGAGGGTTTCGAGGGCTTACAGGGTTTACAGGGTTTATCGGGTTTATCGGGCTTAGGTTTGAGTAGTACGAACGACGAAGGGCCCAACACTGAGATAAACCACCACGTCTACGGAGGAAAACCAGCTAAGCTCTCGGCTGAATCTCTTGAGCGCGGAATTGAATCGCAAGCCGCCATCAGAGGGTTTCGGGCTTTGGGGTTTAGGGCTTTGGGATTTAGGGTTTTAGGGTTTAGGGCTTCGGGTTTGGGGTTTAGGGTTTGGGGTTTTAGGGTTTAGGGTTTAGGGCTTCGGGTTTAGGGTAGTGGGGGGGGGGGGGGGGGGGTGGGTGGCTTAAATAGGGTTTATTTGGAAGCTGGCACTCGGGTTTTCTTCTTGCCAAACACGTCTGTACTGATGTCACGTCAGTCGTACTATGGTGGCCTCAGGGATAAGAACCAGATAAGACGAACATGTAAGATCCTCTGCTCTCTTCTCTGTATCTTTCAGTAATGTCAATCCCTTTCTGCCTCATGAAGCATCTTTCTTTGTAGTTCTTCCGTTTATTCCTTTAACCTTCTCTTCATCTTCCAACTTTACGTTCTTTATTTAACTTTTGTTTCAAACCCCTCTAAATCTCTCTATATCTCTATCGCCTCTGCTCTCTCTCTCACTCTCTCTCACTCTGTCTCACTCTCTCTCACTATCTCTCACTCTCTCTCACTCTCTCTCATTCTCTCTCACTCTCTCTCTCTCTCGGGGCTGGAGGAACCCCGGAGAGCCCGCGCGCCCACGCCAAGTCTCTCTCTCTCTCTCTCTCTCTCTCTCGCTCTCTCTCTCTGTCTCTCTCTGTCTCTCTCTCTCTCTCTCTCTCCATCTCTCTTTCTCTCTTCCCGTCTCTATCTCTGTCTCTTTTTCTTTATCGCCAGGTTTCTGGAAAAAGAAAGAAAACAACGCCAGAAGCGTTTCCATCAGCAAGTCTCACGAACTTCTTGCCTTGCACCATTATCCGAAATAAATGCCACTTGTCGCAAGAACTGCCAAAGGTAGTGTCTTACTCCCAATTAATAATGTCCGGACCATTACCTGCAAACTGCACGTTCAGGACTTTGGTCAAGTTTGACACACGACAAAGACATCCCCTTTAGACTCCTAGCGCAGGAGAACTCCGCACCTGTCGAACTATAGTGCTTCATTTCTGGCCGGGTGGAGTAGTTGCTCCGCTGCGCAGGCTATGCTAGGGAAGCAAGCCACGCGGACGACGTCCCTGTCTGGAACAAAGACCACAGCATGACGCCACGCCAATACGGTGCCTGTGCCTCGGAAGCCAAGCATGCTTTCTGTCCCCTTTGCAAACGTGTGATGAGAGCAAACCCTGGCAAGCGGCAGTGGAAATCACAACTGCGCTAAAAGGGCGAATTGCGCAAGTTCTCTTTCCGACCACATACACATACGCTCACACCTAGGCAAGTATGGGAAGGCTAAGCCCTCATCCTCTTTAGAGTCCTGGCACAGGAGAACTCCACAGCTTTCGAACTTTAGTGCTTCATTTCTGGCCGGGTGAAGTAATTGCTTCGCTCCGCAGGCTATGTCAAGTCCACATGTTCGTGACTGCGCGACTCCTCAAAGCACACTGACCACAGCACACTGCTACCTGACACTTGGCAGAGATGCCATCAATGCCTCTAGCCACGCCATGACGCTGCCTGTGTCCCGGAAGCAAGACAAATGAGGCCACGCGGACGACGTCCCTGTCTGGAACAAAGACCATAACACGACGCCACGCCATTACGGTGCCTGTGCCCTGGAAGCAAAGCATGCTTTCTGTCCCGCTTGCAAACGCATGATGACAGGAGACCCTGGCAAGCAGAAGTGGAAACCACAACTGCGCTAGAAGAACGAATTCGGATCACATAGAAATGCTCACACGTAAGCAAGTATGGGAAGGCCAAGCCGTCATCCCCTTTAGACTTTATAGACTCCTAGCACTCCGCAGCTTTTGAACTATAGTGCGTCATTTCTGGCCAGGTGGAGTAATTGCTCCGCTGCGCAGGCTATGTTTAGTCCACGCGTTCGTGAGTCCGCGACTCCGCAACATGTTCATGTCTTGGTAGGAGGAAACGCTACTCCTGCCCATGTATGCCCGTCTTATGTCTGCATGGGTAGGAGTAGAGTTTCCACGTACCGAGACGTACATGAACATGTTGCGAAGTCGCGAAGTCGCGAAGTCGCGAACATTTGGACGTAGCATGGCCTGCGCAGCGGAGCAATTAATCCACCCGACCATAAATGAAGCACAATAATTCGAAAGGCGTGGAGTCCTCCTGCGCTAGCAGTCTAAAGGGGATGGAGGCTTGGCCTTGCCAGACTTGCTTATGTGTGAGCTTATGTCTTTGTCACGAGTCAAACTTGACCCAAGGTCTTCCATGTGGCCATATCGGGAGTCAAACTGCGCTAGCTGATCCAGCTTAAGCTGTAATAACTCCGCAACCACCTGACACGGCTGGCCAAAAGGTGTTGCTGATACTTCAGAAAGAAAAGCACACATTGGGCCCCGTACCTTTAGCAAGCCACTGAGACAACATCGATTTGTTGCAGCTGGGGTTAATTTGTTCTTCCTGCAGCCGAGATGCAGGACGCCAGCCACCGACAGCCTGTCCGGATCAGAGACAAGCGTGACTCGGCCACGTGTGGACGTACGTGGGCGCAGGCGGCACAGACAACTTTTCTGCCAGCGTGACACGTCTGACCACGGCGAGTTTCCCGCGCCACTTTTTCCAGGACGGTCTCGCGAGCAGCAGCAGCAAGTCTGAAATTGTCGGGCAGTCATCGGCTGGATAGAGTACGGGGCGTTGTCAATGAAAAGACGAAACTCTAAATCTTCTTGAACTTCCTTCCCGGCCGGATTACTGGGCTGCTATTCCGCAGCCGGAAAGGGGTTCGCCTTGTGGGAAGGCTTTTGGGTAAAGGAGGCGCTGCCGCTTTCCTTCGCTTGGCAGCAGGCCTGGATCCAGACGTATTCTCCTTTTCCCGGATAGCTCGACGCACCGCCTGTCCCTCTTTCAGGACCTGCAGTGGAGCTCTAGCCGGCGCAGCTCCGACAACAGTTAGGTCCTTACACCACGCTGTCCATGCACGACGAGGCAGCATCACCTTGACGTTAGCCTTGACGGCTCGTCTAATCACTTCCGACTGGCCCGCCTGCCTTTGCATAGGTCTGTACATGGCCTGATTGTGAGAGAATAGTTTCACGAACTGAAAGAAATCAAGCTTCATGATCAACGTTGCCTTGTGCAGCGCGGCCTGAGATTGACGCGCAAGTCTCACACGCAGACACCGATTGACCAAGTTGCACGTGGCCACTGCAGCCAAGTCTCGGTTTCGCGGAACCAGTGATTCAGTTCATGATGGAGGCTCTCGTTGGAAGTGGTGCCACTTGGCAACAGAACCAAGGACTCCCGGTCGACTGAGTGGCGATATCGTGTGTCATTCAAGAGCCACTGGACTTTTGCCGGCGACGCAACATTGATGATGAGACGATGCAGTGTGACTCCGGAAAATGTAACCTTCTGCACCTCGTCGTAGAAGATTGAAAGAAGAGCAAGCAGTGCTTGGAGGAAATCCACCTCAGTCAGCCACGGCTGATCTGGGTCCACGCCTTTGAGATGGTCGTACGCCTCCTGGGCAGACATGTCCGGATTCTCTAAGCGCTCCCGCATGGATCTGACGTCGGCACGCGATGGCGGCAGCGAGTCCCCTGTGTAGAGTCTTCCCCAAGAAGCCGCTGAGCGCACTGGGTCTCTTTTCCGAAACTTGTCCATGAGGACAGCGAGCCAGCGGGAGCCCTGTGTCTTCTTATTGTTCATGTTTTGTTGATATACCATGACGATATGCATGGCATCCAGGGCAATGCTGGCAAGGCGCGGCAGAACTCCTTGCAGAACGCGGAACATTTCCGCAGACGGAGAATCGGAAGCTACATGGAGTACTTGCGACCGCTGCTGTAGGGGAAGTGTTTTTGCTAGAGTCTCCGCCAACACCACGGCTTTCTCTGAGCGCACGACCCGGATGAGCACAGCAGCGCCTGTCCGGCCGCGACAGGTCAGTGTCCGGTACCCTGCCTCGGCTTCCGGAATAGGAGCATTGTCCCGGGAAGACTGGGACGAGTGGAAGTCCGCCTGACCGATGACCTTCAAGTTAATCTTGAAAGTTGCGTCGACGCTCAGGTACCGAAACTCGTTATGCTCTCTGCACTCATCCAGGAGACCGTCGCGGAACTGTTGAACAGGCGGCGCCTGCATGAGATCTTCCAGAACATTTGTCCAAAATCCGTTTGTGGCGCGAGGCAGCAAGGACGAAAGCTGACCTCGATGTCGCGTGCAGGCGCCCACCATTACAGAGTAAATTCGCTGCAGAGAGGCATTCCCTGTAGCTGCGGCCTGTAGGAAAGCGCACGCAAAGGCATAGGTGTAGTAGAGATTTCCAACACGTCGCAAGTCGTTTCTCTTCTTCACGGAATGCAGAGCCATGATTATAGGACCGTCGGCATCGAAGACGTACCTGACTGTCTTGTCGATGGAGACAATGGTCGTAGGCACAGGAGGTTTCACATCAGCTCGCATGATTGCTGCAGAGCGGGAAAGAAAGCCTGTCTGGATAGTCGTGCCTGCGACCGCATCATGGTCGTAAAGGGCAGCAGCAATGCGAAGCTGTTTTGTACCAGATGGACAATAGCGCTTGGCCGCAGTGTGCTGCGAAACCAGATGCTGCCGCAAATGAGCTCTTTTGTTGAAGCGTCTCCACGGACAGCAAGGGCAAACGGCGACAGTGAAAGTGCTGTTCCCTTGGGACTCCACAAGCCCCAGGGCTTCTTCCACTTCCTGCCGCATCAGCGTCTTCAGTTCGTCGCCGACAGCTACCTCTCCCTCGTTCTGGGGAGCCTCTGCTGGCTCTGCACTCACGCTTGCCGATGGCCGCTTCCGACTGGCTCTGCTTAGCGGCGCAGACGGAGTCGAGGACGACCCTGCAAGGAGATCTAGTAGGCCCACATCCGCATCGTCTAGCTCCGGATCTTTGTCGACTACCTCGAAAAGCATAGTCTCTGTGCTCCCCACGAAAGCTTCGGTCACCTGTATAAGGGCACGCCACGTTGTCTGAAAGCTTTTGCCTTGGCAGCAAACTGTAATGGCATTGTCCGCAAACACCTGGATGCCCATACAATGGGATTCATCTGGGAGCTCTATGTGCAGAATGCAATTTTTCTGCCGGAGCTCTCCCAGTTTGCCAGCAGGAAGCAAGTACTTGGTGTCGACGCCATGCCAATCCGAATACTGCCGAACCTTGCGTCTGTCCGCAGCCGTGTTAGCTGGCGACTCCGCTTGCAAGACGGAGACCACACGGCGCAGATCAAAGCCCACAAACACCAAGGCCGCGGGGATGGAGTTGGGAATTGCTTTCAAGAGATCTGTGAATTCTCCGAAGCAAGCGATGTCGGAGATGTTCTGGAACGCTTTTTTCAAAGCATCCTGAAAAGACGAAACCGTCTTGTCTTTCAGCTTGATCTGAAAGGGAGTGCCGCGCGACACCTGTTCCTGGAGGTACTTGAGGATGTCTTCTTCGACCTTCTCCTCAACTGCTCGCATGAGGGATTGTGATAGGAGAACACCGTCGAAGTGGCAGGAGATGTGGCCTGGCAAATAATGTCTTTGCACACCGTGGAGTATGTGCTGAAGAACGTAGTCCTCCGCTGCTGTCCACCAGTACGCGAAGACTGTGGATTCTGGCCAGTTGGACTTTTGGTTCCTTTGCTCCTTGTACAAGGCTGGCAGCTGAGAGCATGCCAGCCATCGCAGTTCCCGACTTTCATCTGAAAGTTGCTGGAGGAAAGTCGCGGCACCCCCTTGCAGCCGCGACGCCTGACTCACAGCTGCTCCATTCGCAATCTCCAGCAAGAGTTGCTTGCCCTCTGCTTCGGAGCAGCTCAATCTTTCCACGCAGACTTTCTGGCGGTCAGCAGCCACGGCACGCCATGCAGAAATATCCATATCCGGCACACTGAGTGCTTCCACAAGTTGCACAACCACGGTGAACATGCTTGCACGCACGTCGACGTCCCTGCCGTGGGGACAGCAGATGGCGCGTGCAAGGCGCGAGCATGTCTGGGCTCCTCTTTGTTTCGCGATCCTACGCGATCTCACCTGTCTAGGATAGAAGTACTGCCTTTGCACAGTCACCAACCCGTCTGCATCTACTTCTCCTGATTCCGCCAAGCTCTTGATTTCCTCGAATAGCTCGCCTTCCTGTTCCGCTCTGCGCGCCAAGTCCTCACCAAGCTTCCCGTCGCTTCCGTTTTCCGTCAGCTTAAGATCAACCTGTCATCTGGATCCAAAGTGATGACGTCCCCCAGGGCTTTCTTCGCCGGAATACGAGGCAGATAAATGGTGGTAAGTCCAGCCTTCGGCAAGACAGTGGACTCGGAGAGGAGATGCCCATCCTCAGCGAGTTTTTCGAGGACGGTGTCTGCATCCTTCCGACTGAAACTGAAAGAAGCGCTTGCTTTGGCAGATCGCACTTGGGCCGCAGTGAAGAAGTCCTTGTGTTCCTGCACCAGCCACTCCTTGATGTCCTTCACGTATTGATTGTGCTCGCGTAAACGCGCCTCCTTCGCACGTTGCACCTCGTCCACGGGTACCGGTGGCTCTGGAGCGGCCAAAACATCCTCCACGTGATCTGCCGCATCTTTTTCCTCCACGGCTAGACCACAGCTCGTGCGCACAGCAAGCCGCGTCAGGCCTCCATCACCACCATGCACGGCATAATTTTCCAGCGTCTCACGGCACGCAGCCGCAGAGTTCTGTCGCGCATAGTTGCAGACAGAACGGAGCGTCACCACGCAAGCTGGATTATCTCGCAAGGCGTCCTTGAGAGTTGGGTCCCTTGCAAAAATGCCCCTCTCTGCCGCTGCCTCTTCTCGAGCAAGAATTTTGCTTGGCTCAACGAAGGTGGCCTTGTAACGGCACACGGCCGTCCTGCGGAAAATGGACGGCAGGTTCTCTTCCGTCACGCCGACAAACCTCCAGGAACGAGGAACCAGGGAAGAAACAACATATAAGAAGCTCAGAAGAAAGCCCAGGAGGCAAATAACAGTTACAGATGGAAAGCCGATTTGACGAGAAGCCTGGGATAAGCGTTCATCTCGAAACGCTTCCATCCACGCAGCTCCACGAGGGCTGTGTCGATGGCGTACGGAAGTCGTTCGGGCACCTTGTCCGCGGAGATGTGCTTTTTGTAGATGTCTTCCCGCATGGACTTGCGAGATCCTTGCACAGTCTCCTGCCCGGTGACGACAATCTTGCCGACGAGACGAGCGGCTTGCTTTCGCATTTCCTGCCAATCGTTCGACAGGGAGTATCGACTGCTGCGAACACATGCCACTGACGAAACCTCAAGACCTCTTCATCGTGAGATTAGGAGAACGTGCCTTGCCTCGTCGACGTAGTAGATATTCATGTCGAGACAGGCGTGGTAGTTGCCCAGTAAGGCTTCCAAGTGAGCAGTCTGTAGACTCTGCCCGACCCCTCCAGATCCTATTCCCCAGAACGCGCGGTCAACGTTCTCCCCATGCAAGGCCAAAGTCAAGGAAGCCATGCAGACTCGGAAGGCGTCGGCATTGTTCCAATATGTTGTCTTCCAGAATTTTTCGACCCTGTCCTTGATCTCTGACGAAACCGGATCCAGGATTCGATGCGGCAGGAGGACATAAAGATTGGTTTCAGGCGACTTCCGAGCCGCCACCAGACCGTCCGCTTTCTGGAAGATGAAGCAGCCATCTGTCGTGCAGAAGCCAGCTCGCCTGCGAACGTCCCTGGAGCACCACGCCACATAGTACTTTATGACAGTGTCGTTCAGCAGGGAGGTCTGCCTATGCACAAAGTTTCAGGGGAGACTTCGTGGATGAGCACACCGAAGGAGACTTGCTTCTACATTATGCCAAGACGCAGCTTCACGTAGAGCTTCCCGATTGTGTTGGCCATGGCCTGGGTCCACGAAGTGGCACCGCCGCCACGGCCTTCGCATGCCTCCTCGTCTTCCTCCTGGCCTGGCTTCTTGGCGCGCGTGGGAACTCTGCAGATGGCTGCGCGTAGACATTCTGCCAACAGAGCCGAGCAAGATTGGTTGTGTTGTTCCAGCAGCCGTTGGGCCTCTGCCAGGATGCTGTCAGTGCGCCGAAGAACCTGTGCTCCAAACATGGAGTACAGGCCTTCCAGATGCATTAAGAAACTCTTGCACCGGGCCAGGGTGCCTTGCGGGATAACACCATTGTACGCCGCCCAGTATCCATGCGCAGAGTAGAAAAAACACTGACCGTCATGAGCACGAACGTGGCGCCCGCACCCCTCAATGAGCTCCAGGAACAGCACTTCTTCTCTTCTGCTTATGTCCAGCAGACGAAGGTTTTGGACGGCCAAGGCACCTTGGACAATGTGCTGGAAGTCCGTCGTCCACGGTCCGCTCCCTGGGAAACTCTCAACGGCCAGGCGATTTCGTTGAACTTCCAGAAGAATGTCGCCGTCCTCTGTGGGTGTCTCGACCTCGTGTCCTAGCATCAGGTCGTCGATCTCTATCCGCATGAAGTCCGAGACTGCCGTATCCACGTCAGACTGCTTCCCAGCAAGGTCAGTTCGCGCTCTCTTCGGCACAGGCGCTGCCGCAGGCGGCGTCTCGTCCAGCAGGCCAGCTTCGAGCTCCAGTTCCACTCTCCGCGAGAAGGACATGTCACTTTCCTGGCTTCCTGCCCGCAGATCATCCACTGGCTCCGCGGTCAAAAGCATTTGCGACTGCAAGTCGTCTCGTCGCCAAGACATGAGATGATCTATGCAGTCGAACAAAAGCGGAACTTCAATGACCAGAGCAGAGAAGCCGTTGTCTGGATGGAGACAGACGACACGCAGGTCCGTGACATTCACCTCGTAATATGTCCGGAGAATCCAAGCATATATGTTTAACTGAACCCGGTAGTGCCATAGGACGGTGTCCGGGAGAGCTTCCAGAGGATGCTGAAGGCAGCGGCCGAAACTAGCATCTTTCGAAGCCAGCTGCTTTGTTCTCTTCCAATCTAAGAGGCAGATGTCCGCGCCGCGCGCAGCAACGGCATCGATGGAGCCGGCTAGATCCTCCGCGTCTGCGTAGATGGTCCACTCTGTCCTCCTGAATATCCAGCCCTCTGCTTGGAACTCGCGAAGGAATTTGAGGAACATGCACATCTCGGGTGAGTTTGTCGGGACCTGGCCTCCATTGAGTAAGCACTCACATTTGGCATGCATCCAGGTTCCGGCGGCTGCCGCGACTCTGCGATTGCCCTCCCACTGCTGGAGAATGTCCGCATCTGTCAAGCTCGCCACGGTGGCAAGATATTCGTACCCTGGGTGAGTCCAGATCAGATCGCGCAGCCGCCTGCAGACAGCCTCCACATCAACCCGAGGCTCTGCCAAAAGGCGCAGCAGTTCGGATTCAGCCGGCCCGTCCGTCCGTAGAACGGCTCGTAGCTGCTGTACCATGTCAGATGCGACGTATTCCGGTCTGGGCCAGTTCCTGCCGCTGCGCATCGCGCGCAATGCTTCAGGTGCATGGAACCGTGCAGCCAAAGAATGAATCAGCCCCGTTACCGACGTAGAAACCCTGCGACCTTGCCAGGTGTACGAGTGATCCAGATCGCGAAACTGGAGGTGTGCGTCTCGGCCGTGTGGATGCAAGATTGCAAGAACATCCAGCACATCAATCCCTGCCAGTTTCTCCACATTGAGAGACTGCGGCGTTGCCACGCACACTGACCGTGGCCACCGACCTGTTCGCAAGCACTCTGGCAGACAAGTCTGCAAGCCGAAATCGATCAGACTATTCTGTCCAGCCATGCTTCGGCAGCTTCTGCTCACTGTGAAGAAACCGCCCGTCTCCAGACTGTTGATAGCTCGCGCAAGTCTTTGGAAGGCAACATCGTCCAGTTGCGTGCGAAGCTCCTCTCTTGCGCAGAAATCGTCTGTCTCGGCAGCGCACATCTGTTCTTCCACACTTTGTATTCGCTCGCACAGGAGGTCGAAGGCTGCTGCATCGCCTGAAAAACGTAAATATTGACGTCGAAGAGCGACCAGCCGACGTCCTTCTACCGCCGCTCTCCAGCCAGCCGGCTCTGGGAGCGAGGTCCCGGCCAAGCGATCCTCTAGAAAGGATTCTGGCATGCAGGAGAGGCACATGTCGCTGCCACTGAGGCCATGTTCTTGACAAAACCAGTGCTGGCAAGCCTGACAGCAGGCAAGGCTCGTCATCGGGCAGTAGGCGCATGTCGGATGACCGAAGGAGGCGCAGTATTGGAAAGGCAATAAATGTATTTGAAAATCAGTGCGTGTGCGCGCGGGAGATGCCACGCACATAGCCGCTGCACGGACCCACGGCTCCACATCCTGCTGCTGTGTCAGGGGCACTGTGCTGACGAGCTGGCCCTCAAAGAGGAATTCCAAAAACCCAGTTTGCCACCGGAACTCGAACTTGTGTGTGCTGGCTCGGGTCGAGGACATGAAACTGGGAATCGGAACTGGGACGCGCAGTCCATCGGACAATCGGAACTGTATTCCTCCTGCAGGATCTAGTGGCTTCCGCAGCACGACGCACGTGCTGTTGTCCGGTGTGCTCCCATGTTCGGCACGGCGCAGAGCCAGTACCAGGAACAAAGCTCCTGCAGGGACGGAGCACTCCAAGGCGACAGAGCCACAGGTCTGCCTCTCCGATCTCCAGTAGATAATTCTGTTGGAGGCTGGGACTTGGCGCGGTCCGACTACGCAGGGAAGGTATTCGCCTTTCCCCCGCAGAAATAATTTTCCGTCCAGCGCGGAGAGGTAGTGCAAGAAGTTGTGCGGACACGATAAACTTCTGATACCCCTCGACCACGCTCCAAGAAGATGCACAAAAAAACTCCTGCGTCGAAAAGGAACACTGAGATGGTCTGTCAAGTCCAGGTCCACTCCTTGCCAGAAATGGCTCTCTTGTATGGACTGTCGGAGGAAATGGTTGCACGACCCAACTGCCAGGAAATCTGCCAGGTCCTGCAGAAAAGAAGTTTGCAGATGAGCGCACGTACAGAAGTCGGGGCTCCCAGCACGCGCATCCTCTCGGCGGATGAGCGACTGGGTCCCGACCTCTGTGCGAAGAAAGCGGCTTCTGCTTCCACCTGACATCCCAGGCAACTGCATTGGACCGAAAGTGGACACTACCACCTCAGACCATTGCGGAATACTGCACTCTCCAAGAGAGACCGATCCAATCGTGTGGCCATCCAGCAAGACCTCTAGAGCCTGATTCCACCACTGCACCTGCAGTAATCTTTCCGGAGCTACGGATGGCACCCAAGCAAAGTGCGCGGCATTGGGTTCACCTCGGTGATTGTGACCCATCTCAATCGCCATTGTGTCTTCGAATGGGCGCAAGATGTGACACCAGCAGCGGTCCTGGGAGGCGTCGCTGTCTGCCGCCCTAGGGCTGCCGACGGAGATGACACACCGGTCGATCTCGTCCACGGCACAGAGCTCGAAGTACACAGGCGACACTGCCGCTTGCTTTGTCCGCCAAGAACGGTAAGAGGATCCACACAGATTCGTGCATGTGGCTCGGACCGGCCACTCTAATGCCAGCACGCGAGACGTGGCGACTGCGCTGCCAAGAGAGGACACGCCGCCAGTCAGCCACTTGGCCTGCAACACATCTGCGGGGAGTGCGCCAGCGTTGCGCCCGGACCACACGTCAGGCTGCGTGACTAGATCCCGAAAGTCTCTGCACACACGTTCCATTTGCGCCACGGACCGCAAGTCCCCGATGTTGCGGACGATCTCCTTACTCACCTGGCTGGGGACATCAGCGACACTGCCGCCGACGAGATCTCGCCCACCATCCTGCGCAGCATCAATGTCCTTCAAGGAAAACGTGTGCAAATTACACATATGCTCCACATAACTTCGGTATGAGAGAAGAAACCGCTCTGCAGGAATACTTTCTCGAACACAAAGTGTCTACACTTTCCGACATGCACGGGGTCCTGAATGATAAACAGTCCAGAGCACGCTACCGGGTCAATCAGCCACTGGCCGATATCCTCTGCGAAACCAATGGGCACACTCGTCTGCCAGCGGCACGCGCTTTGCCACTCGTGCGTCCGGCGCCCAAAGTTCACCTCTAGACAGCCATCATTCTTCCGCAGCGCGATGAAATGGTTGCCCACAGTCAATATGAACTCGCCGTTGAGCATGGCAGAGAGACGGCTCCAGGTCGTGCGGCTGACCATTTTCCTCATGCAAAGACATCACTAGTCTCCACTGGGCGGCCGCACATTCACATGCACCGGGTGCGGTCCAAGAGGCCCCTGCGCTTCCAGGAAGCGGTTTCCGTCCTGCATGGCCCAGAACGGGCCATCTGCCTCATAGTCAACCTTGTAGCCGTGGGCGCGTAGCACGTCCACGAGGCACACATCCGCATAGTTCCTCTCGGCCCCTTGCGGTGGACAGAATACAACGACTTTCACCCTTTACTTCTTGCGCCGCAGCACTGCATGCCGCTTAGGCACGATCCGGGAAGTCGTACTGATACGACTTCTTGTAGAAGAACATGCCTGCAGACTAGACTATGTTGAGCCTTCCAGAAAAAAACAGCCCAATCTTGCAATCCAAGATTCTGGAACGCTGCCTCATCCGATTGCAGCGCCGACTCCAGGCCTGTCTCGTGATCCGGGCCCACCGCGAAGTCGCCTGAGTCAGCCACACTCGCCACGTATTATCTTTTACTTCCTGTGAAGCCTGTCACGTAATAAGACCCTTGGTGCAGTCTCTGCCACTGTGGCGACAGGTCCACCGCGTGTGCGTGGCACATGGCGCAAGTAGATGCTCTTGGCCAAGAGGTCCCAGAGACTCCACCGGTGCCCTGTTCCGGGCACCTGCGTAGTGACGCCACACCAACCAAATTGCCTTGCCACTAACAAACCACGCCCGGCCTCTGCCTTGCAGAAGCCGTTGTGTCTCCCTAGACAAGCATGCTGTTTCTTTTGTACCACCATAGACAAGATGCTGCTCGCTATATCTTGCCCAGGAGCAAATCGTCGTCCTGGTGGCTGCCTGCGATTCCTCCATACTCTCCATCTCGAAAACGGTCCTCCGACTCGCTCCGCACCACTGTCCGAAATATTCCATGTCTGACTGCGCCCATACGCGGTTCCGCGTGTTTTAGATCAGCCACACGCGTACATCGACCTTTGACATCTACTTCAACAAATACGACATCTAGTCCACGCAACATTCTGAGGCAGCGGCTTCTCCTGGGCGGCAGTCGGCTCGAAGCACAGCAAGAATGACCTCCGTAGCTGTGAGACGACTTTTCCATGTCGCGATGCTGCAGCATCGTTGTGTGCGCTACCTGTCCGTCTTTCTTCTACTAGACAGGACACAGGAGTGCATCCGCGATGTCATCCGGGACGCGATCTGCATCTTCTTCCTTGTCGACACCGTTCCTGAACAGCAACCGCGACGGCGTATCCGACTTTATGCATGCGGGTTGCCGCTGTCTGTAAGGCCCTTCCCTTGCTGCGGTCTCAGACGGGAGGCAAACCTGCGCCGGCACGGTCGTCGGCCGGACTAGCGGCCTCCGACCTCGTGCACTGCTATACACAGAAAACATCTAATCGATAAAGCGTGCTGAGACTTCAGCTTCTCCTGGGTGGCGGTTGGCTCGAAGCAGAGCAAGAATGACCTCAGTCTATCTTTCCATCTCGCGACATTGGCGCATCGTTAGTGTGTGCTGCCTGTCATTCTTGCTTGTAATGGACAAGATACAGAATTGCATCTGCAATATCCTCCGGAACGCGATCTGCATCGTCTGCCTCCTCCATCCCGTTCCTGAACAGCAACGACGACAGCAAACAAGAAGCTCTTTCCCACCATGAAGCACCCGCCCCTGGCTAAACATAGACATTACCCGGCTAACCTTTCTCTGACATGTCTTGCTGCTGACTCGCCACATTATTTCGCTTGCGACGACGGCGGCCGGACTGGCGGCCTCCGACCTTGCACGTGCATTGCCGCGAGAGACAGTCCGCAATGCGGCTACCACCGAGCGCTTTGCGTGCTCGTTAAAAACTCGTCCACGCAGACATGAGGGGACATTGCGTCCCCTTGCCTCGACTCGCTACAAAATTTTGAATTGCCACGCTAACACACAATGTCTCCTTCGTTAAATCGAGAATCGGCTTCATGCGTAGTGAGCCCGTCTGCCTTACGCGCATCACAGTCTCTGCAACACTTGCGCCAACTCCTAGCCTACGCGCGTACCTTGAAACCTGGGAGGTCGAGCTTCGGTGGCTTCCCCTGCAAGCCGAGCTGCATCGACGGGATAACGCGCTCGAAGCCCGGGGCGACTTGGGACCTTGCAGACGGAAACCCCTCAAGATGACTGCGGTTCAACACTCGCATGGCACATCATAGCCTGGGTGTCCTACGCGGTCTTTTGCCATTGGCCATTACCGTTCAGCATCCCTGCAGAGCAAATTTACTCGACATACCGCTGCATCGTGACCCAGCTTCTACCTATATCTTTCTAGAGCTGTCTCCACCCACTCGCTGCTACTGCAGCGTCGAGCGGCAACAGGTCCGCTGCTTCTCCTTGGAGCCTCGTGGGCAAATGTGCAACTTCTGTACATTGGCATCGATTCTGCTTTCGAATGAAACTGATTCTGCACACACTTCCTCTTCCTACAACAGTCCTGCTGTCGGAGACGACGTCACAGGGAATCTCGTTGTCGCCCTACTGTGTCACAGTGCTGAGCACAATAACACACTCTTGCTCAAGGTTCCTCATCTGCACACACTCACACACACGCCAGCTCACAAGCATACTGATGGATTCGCCAGAGCCTCACGACCCGCCACCCCTGGTCGATGATGCCTCACTGAATCCCGATCACGTTGACTCACCTACATGTCTGTTTCCATCGAGAGCGTCTGCGGGACGCACGATACTCACCTGCGTCCTTCTCCACGATCGGCCCCAGCCTCTGCTTCTACGTGGGGCTGACACATGCCGCAACGCGTATGTCGCCATTGCGTCCTACCCATCTCCTGCCCAAGTAACTCGACGTCATCATCCGCGAACCACTGACACTTCGAGAAGCGCATCATGGTCCTGAGTGGGCTCCTTCCTTGCCTGAATCTTTGCCTTCGCCGCAAACGACCTTCCATCTCCTTGCAATCGCTACCTCTTGCTCTGCCTAGAGACTGCTGGGATTCGGAAAGCCTGAAGGCGATTAGATAGCACCTTGGCTTGCGTCAGCTCTCACACAGGCAGCTACTCACCGAGTTTGCTCAGCTAACAAACTGGTATGCAGCACAGCACCGCTAGTAAATTTCATGATATGTGCATGAAAGCTGCAACGCGGTTGCGATAAGTTTGAAGGCTCAAGCAAACTTGAGCCGTGACGAACGACGGAAGTTTTCTCTGGTGTTTCACAAGGCAGTCAAGGTTCTGCAGCACAGTGCTGCAACCGACGCATGTCGTGTTCCTGCGTCTCAACTTGTCTGCAACACACTGCGCCTCGGTCTTCTTCTTAGACGGCAGTGGGATGACCTGCTCCTGCAGACATGCTGCCGCTACTGGAGACAAAATGGATACATCAAAACACAGTCCCTTTCCCGACGGTGCAACGCCTCTCTAGACAACCCACGTCGTTGATGCTTAGTCTTCAATGATCCACAGACTGCACGTCTGGCCGGCCTCGTAGGAAGGTGCGCCTCCACCACAACCGCGATGCTCACGACCTCCGCGACACACAGCTTGCATAAAGGTAAGGGCTGATTCTCGTTTCAGGCCTTTCGCTTACTGTCGACACATGGACACGTGTGCACTTCCCCCGGCTCCCTTGATAAACACCATCCGAACAAAGACAAGTTTTACTCTATGCCTACCAAGGTTTCCTTTTCTCCCGCCCACACATCCGCAAGGAAATCAGATCCTGGCGGGCATAGCAAGGCAAGCCACCCGGCCGCTGGCAACAAACACATCATCCGAGCGTTCGGACTACGAAAGCCTCAGACCCGAAGACTGCTCAATACAGCATTCATTCTTCTGTCCCTGCTCCGCGCACTGACCACAACATGATGTTACCTGGCACTTGGCGGTAGTGCCCTCACTGCCTCTAGCCACGCCAGTATGCTACCTGTGCTCAGGAAGCACAACAAAGAAGGCCACGCGGACTACGTCCCTCTCTGGAACAAAAACCACAACATGACGCCACGCCACTACGGCGCCTGTGCCCTGGAAGCAAAGCATGCTTCTGCAAACGCATGATGAGAAAGGCTCATAACCGAAGATTACAGCTTGAACCCTTCCTCCTTCTGTCCCTGTTCCGTGCACTGACCACAGCATGATGTTACCTGACACTTGGCAGAGATGCCCTCAATGCCTCTAGCCACGCCAGTACGCTGCCAGTGCTCGGGAAGCACAACAAAGAAGGCCACGCGGACTACGTCCCTCTCTGGAACAAAAACCACAACATGACGCCACGCCACTACGGCGCCTGTGCCCTGAAAGCAAAGTATGCTTCTGCAAACGCATGATGAGAAAGGCTCATAACCGAAGATTACAGCTTGAGCCCTTCCTCCTTCTGTCCCTGTTCCGTGCACTGACCACAGCATGATGTTGCCTGACACTTGGCAGCGATGCCCTCAATGCCTCTAGCCACGCCAGTACGCTGCCAGTGCTCGGGAAGCACAACAAAGAAGGCCGCGCGGACTACGTCCCTCTCTGGAACAAAAACCACAACATGACGCCACGCCACTACGGCGCCTGTGCCCTGGAAGCAAAGCATGCTTCTGCAAACGCATGATGAGAAAGGCTCATAACCGAAGATTACAGCTTGTACCCTTCCTCCTTCTGTCCCTGTTCCGTGCACTGACCACAGCATGATGTTACCTGACACTTGGCAGAGATGCCCTCAATGCCTCTAGCCACGCCAGTACGCTGCCAGTGCTCGGGAAGCACAACAAAGAAGGCCGCGCGGACTACGTCCCTCTCTGGAACAAAAACCACAACATGACGCCACGCCACTACGGCGCCTTTGCACTGGAAGCAAAGCATGCTTTCTGTTCCGCCTGCAAACGCATGATGAGAGCAGACCCTGACAAGCACAGCAAGGCCAGCCGCCGGACCCTAGCTAGTTCTACATCATCCGAACGGTCGGATGATGATTGCTAAAGGCTCATATAACCGAAGAGCACATATTGAACCCTTCCTCCCACTGACCACGGCATGATGTTACTCGACCCTTAGCAGAGATGCCCTCAACACCTACGCTGCCTGTGCTCGGGAAGCACAACAAAGAAGGCCACGCGGACTACGCCCCTCTCTGGAACAAAAACCACAACATGACGCCACGCCATTACGGTGCCTGTGCCCTGGAAGCAAAGCATGCTTCTGCAAACGCATGATGAGAAAGGCTCATAACCGAAGATTACAGCTTGAACCCTTCCTCCTTCTGTCCCTGTTCCGTGCACTGACCACAGCATGATGCTACCTGACACTTGGCCGACATGCCCTCAATGCCTCTAGCCACGCCAGTACGCTGCCA